CTCCTCCTCCTCCTCCTCCTCCTCCTCGGGTCGCCGACGGTCCTGGGGGAAACCGTGCGCGCCGTAAGTGATTCGCGCAGGGGCCCCGCGGGGCAGAAGCAGCGGGCCCGCGGGCGCAGCTACTCGCTGTCCCTGGCCCCCGCCGCCCAGTGGGTGCTCCTCGCGAGGAAAAAACACGGCAGCGTGGCCACAGGTGATCGTTTTTGTATTCATTGTCTTGCCGATCGGCACGGGCCCCCCCCCTCCCCCCCTGCCCCCCTCCCCCTGGAGTGGATCTTGGCTGTTTGGGGCGCCTGTTTCGAGCAGGCGGGGTCTCTCCCCCAGAGGACGCACTGCTGCAAACAGTCGCACTAAGCAGAGGTCCGGAGCCAGACCCCCCCTCCCCCCCCCCTTCCGCCCTATGTCGAATCGCTGATTAAGAAGACGCTCCCCTGTCGGAGCTCCGCGTGGGGTTTCTCGGGTCGGCGCCAGAGCCCGTGCGCGCGGAGCGCGCCGGGGGCGGCGCCGGAGGCGCCGCCCTGGAGGTCGATCGCCGTTGCAAGAATGAAGTCGGGCATGTGCCTCTACAGAAGGAATGTTCAGAAATAGTCTGGGGACAATTTGTTCTGTATTTGGCGATTGAATATGTTTTGAATGTTGTTTTACTCTTCGTCCAAGATCCGCCTGGAGGAGGACATGCCCGACCTAATCCAAGAAATCCGCGCCAACCTCTGAACGTTTGTGGTTCTGCCGTTGTTTTTTCTTCGGTCCTCGGGGACGGCGACGCCGCGCCCGATGCCGGCGGCGAAGGCGGCGCCCCGCAGCGGCTGCTCGTCGGGGGCCAGACGGGGGTGCAGCCGCTGGCCAAGGCCCTCGCGGCGCGCGCGGGGGCGCTGCCAGAGGGGGGTGCCTTGGCGCTGGAGCTCTGGAGGGCTCCTCGCGGGGGTTGGGCCGGCCCGGTGCTTGGATCGCGCCAGAGGTTGCTAAGAGGGGAGGGGGGGGACGAAGTTACCTGATCACCTTAAGCCACTCAGAGTACTTGTAACCCGAGCATGTTCTTTGGGTGGAGGGCGAAGGGTGAAATCTGAAATGCCGTTTCGTTCGATTTTCGAGGCTTGAATCTGCAAACGGTGAATCACAAGACGGATTGATTTTTTAGGTGCGGAAGCCCATATGGATTTCACCCTGAGCCCACCACCCTGAGAAAATGCTCAGATAACCCACCTGAAAGCTAGGTCAGGCCAGGCATTACCCACCTTAAAACATTCAAGCCGACCCTCACCGATAACCACCAGCAACCCCCGCGGCGATCCAAAGGAGGCTTCTCGGGATCTCCGACGATCTGCGGCCCCGGCTTCCCCCGGGGCCGCAGGCGACCCGAGGAGGAGGAGGAGGAGGAGGAGGAGGAGGAGGAGGAGGAGGAGGAGGAGGAGGAGGAGGGAGGAGGGAGGAGGAGGGGGAGGAGGATTTTTTGCATCCACGATGTCGCAACCCAACATACTCCCCAGAAGGTGGGTGAGGCCGACTGGGGGAGATCAGGCGGCTGGGCGACTAGCAGCCCGATCGGAGAAGTGTCCAGCACTGCACTGTGCAGCAGACCCGGATGCTAAATATGGCAAAACGTGTTTAAATCGACGGTGACCCCAGCTTTCTTCGGATGGAGACCTTTATTTAATTTATTCCACGGATTGCTATGTGAGGCAACTTTGTGTGGCCCACACCTTAGTGGGCCCTGAAAACGACAGGGCTGTTTTTTTTACCGGTTCCGTTTTGCCGTTTTTTTGCCCGTTCCGACGCCGTTGTTTGACCGGTTCCGTCGCCGTGTTTTGACCAGTTCCGGCTCCGGTTCCAATCCTGGAGCCGTTTTTGTTGCCGTTTCCGGTCGCCGTTTTTTTGCCGTTTCCATTTTCAAGGGACATTTTTTGGGGAAACGGTGAAAAAACGGCCCTGCCGTTTCCGGGGCCCACAAAGGCTCACATTGCTTGTCGAGGTTGCGGACTTGCCCCCCCGACGTCATGTACGAGCACTTGTGGCAAATACACAAAAAAGAGCCGTCCGAGCAATCTCCAAGTCCCTTCTTAATCGTCCCCCGGGTCCGTTTTTTTAAGGCGCCTTTTTTGTAACTGGGAGGTCCGGTTTATTAGGCCGCTTTCTGTGGATTGGAGCTTAGGGGGTCCAGTTTATGAAGGCGCCCCGTCGAACAGGGGGGTCCGGAACATTAGGTCGCATTTGGAGGGGGGTCTGGTTTTGGGGTGGGTCGATTAATAAGGGATTTGGAGTAGCGCTTCTCGCGTGCAGTCGAGCTTGATGAGTGTTAAGTCGGGGCATGTCCTTCGACAGGAGGAAGATTCAAGAATAGTAAAGAAATAGTCTGGGGACGACTTTTCGACTATGTCTGGGTATTTGTTTTTAGCATGTTTCTGCTATTGTTCCTTTTTCACCCAAAATGCGCCCGCAGGGGGGCATGCCCGACCTAAGATTAGTGGGTCGAGCCTGCCAACTCAAGGACACCCTTGTGTCCTGTGCGTTCGCGGCCCATGCCTGCTGCATTCCTGTGGCAACGTGGCCCTCGGAATCCTCTCGCGTGTCCTCGCCAAGCAAACTCGACTGTATCCCGACCAGCCCCTTCAGAAACCCTGTCCGTACAGTCGGGGCCCTGAAGAAGGAACCCTTTTGGTTGGGGAGGGGCTCCGCGTTCCCTGAGTGTTCACAGCCTGCCCCAGGCTTCCCTTATGTTTTCGACAGGAAGTCGCAGGTTAACTTATGGAAAAAAGGGGCCTCGTTCCTTATTTAGGGTTCCTTGGGTCAACGCCCCGACTGTAAGAGCTGACAGGGAAATGGGACGAAAGGACGCATGCAGTGAAAGAAAGCGGGCAACCGAGATGGACAGAGAGATCTCTGGGGGCGAGGGGGTGGCCTTGGAGGGCCTCGTGGGGCCATCCCTGGGGCCCCAGGGGGCGGGCGAGGGGAGGAGGGGGAGGAGGAGGAGGGAGGAGGAGGAGGAGGAGGAGGAGGAGGAAGGAGGAGGAGGAGGGAGGAGGAGGAGGAGGGGAGGAGGAGGAGGAGGAGGAGGGAGGAGGGAGGAGGGAGGAGGGAGGAGGAAAAGGAAAAGGAGGAGGAGGAGGAGGAGGTGGAGGAGGAGGAGGGAGGAGGGAGGAGGAGGGAGGAGGAAGGAGGAGGCGGGAGGAGGGAGGAGGGAGGAGGGAGGAGGGAGGAGGAGGAGGAGGAGGAGGAGGAGGAGGCAAACCGTCTCTTGGGGCCCTTGTTGGACGCTCTTGGGGTGCTCTTGGGGGCGTCTTGGACCTCTCTTGCGGCTCACTTGAGGCCCTCGTGGGAGCACGGTGAGGCCTCTTGGGGCCATGTTGTAGGGCGCCGATCAAAGGAGTGGGTCCTCGATGTCCGCCGCCCCCCCCCCCCAAGAGCCATCGAAATCGCCTCGTGGGGCCCTCTTGGGGCGCTCTTGGGCCTCTCACAGGCCATCCTGGGGGCATCTTGCGACCCCACAGCGCATCAGAAGCGAGAAGGCGAGAAGGCAAACATCATGGATTGTATGTTGGTTGTTGAGGGGTGTTGACCTCTGGGAGGGGTCCTGAGGGGGCTCCGAGAGCACTTGGAACCGTCCTGTGGCCCTCGTCAGGCCTCTTGGAGGTATGTCAGAAGCCATCTTCGGCTATCTTCAGCATTTTCGGAGGCAATCCTTGGGCCATCTTGGCCGCTCCCCGCGGTACGTCGATTGTGGGCGCTGCAACGCGCATTCTGCGGATTTCTCGAACGGCGACCAACAAACATTTGGACCCCCCCCCAGGAGACGGCGCTGGCCGGAAGCGAGCGGGCGCTGCGATCGCGCGTGGCGCGCATGGCCCAGGCGGTCGCCCTCGCGCACCACTGGGAGACCTTCCCGCGCGAGCCGCTGCGGCCGGCCAGGCCCTTCCTCTGCGCGGCGGCGCTCCGCATCGGCGAGGCAAGCCGGCCACAGCTCGGGGCCTCCCAGGCGGGGTCCGAGCAGGTGGGGTCGGAGGAACGCGGCGCGTCGGTGATGCGGCTCGATGTGGCGCCGGATCTGCAGCCACGCGCAGAGCGGGGGAGGGGGAGGGGGGAAGGCTTCGTAGAAGCATCCCCTGCCTCTCAGAACGCGCGGGCCTCGTGTCTGTAGCTGTAGTGCCCGCGCCTTCGAAGAGGCAGCCTCCACCTAAGAAGCCTTCCCCCCTTCCCCTACCCCCTTGTGCGCGCCGCCAAGATTTTCTCCACGCCGACGGTGCCGATGCATCGCCCATCCTGCGACCCCACATACTCGGACCGCATACGGGAGGCATGTAACAGTTGGGGGAGCCCGTGGCAGGGCTTGTCCTAAACGCTGTGTTGCTGGACGTCGGCTGTGTTTTGTGCTTCGTTTTGGCAGAGAGAGGCACCGGAAAAAAAAACAGGCAGAGAAACGAAACGAGAAAGAAACAAAAAAACGTTTAGGTCCAGCCCTGTTTTGTTTTTCAGGTCCAGCCCTGTTTTGTTCGTCCTTTTGGCAGAGAGGTACAGGAAAACGGGCAGAGCCAAACGAGAAACGCGACGACAACGAGGCAAGAAGCAGCGTTTCTAGGTCCAGCCGACGGCCTGTGGCCCTCCCCCCGGGCCGCCTCCTTGCGGCGTGAGAGACAAAAGGATATTATAACGACGGGCGGCGCTTGCCCGTGTTCGCTCTCCCGGGGGCCCCCGCCGGGCCTCGGGCCCGCCAACAAGACGAGACTCGGGGCGGAGAGCCGATCCCGGGCAAGGGTGAAGCCGGGTCTGTCCCTCTACAGGAGGAATGGTCAAAAATAATCCCAAACATGCTCTGGGGACGATTTTTGTTCCCATGTTTCAGTATTTGGATGTACTCCAGATTTCGTAATAAAAGGGAGGGTGTCTGGACCCTCCAAGACAAGCCATTTCAGACCTCCCCCGTGGGAGAACCCTCCAAAACATCGTCCCCAGACCCCCCAGGCCCTCCAAGATGGCCTGCAAGAGACCCCCCCCCGAAATGAGACCCCCCCCCCCCTTTATTACGAAATCTGGGGTATGTTCGAATCTGTTTCACATGTTTCGTCCAAGTAGGGGGACGCGCCCGACCGAAGGCAAGGGGCTTCGACCTCTCGGGGGGGGGCACGTCGTGAGAAAAAGGGCACGTCCTCGGATCTGTGGGCACCTCCCTGGGAGACCCAGCTGCTCCGACGCCCCTCTCGAGGGATCGTCGGTACGACTGGTCCCCCCCCCTGCTCTCCACTCTTCAGGCGGGCCTGTCCCTCTACAGGAGGAAGATCCTAAAGTAGTAAAAAGTAGTTCTGGGACGATGTTGTCCTATTTTGTTTAGCAGTTGGGGAGCATGTGTGGAGCAATTTTCAATTTTCCGCCCAGCATCCCCCTGTAGGGGGACAGGCCAGACATAAGATTGGCTTCCCCCCCCTGCTCTCCGCTCGGCGAACTCCTACCCGGAGCAGGCTGGTCAGAGCGCAAGGGCCAAAGTGGATGCAGGGCGTCAGCGCCCCGGAACGGAGGTGTGCAGCAGACCCAGACCCCTTCGAGTAATGAAAAAGTCACGACGGTACTCCAGATGTCGTAATAAAAGGGAGGGGGTCTGGACCCTCCAAGACAGGCCATTTCAGACCCCCCCTCGTGGGAGAACCCTCCAAAACATCGTCCCCAGACCCCCCCAGGCCCTCCAAGATAGCCTGGAAGAGACCCCCCCCCCGAAATGAGACCCCCCTCCCTTGATTACGAAATCTGGAGTAATGAAAAAGTCACGACGGTAGGTTTTCTGTCACTTTCAGCATCTGGGGGCCCTCACCAGGCCTCGGGACCGTCCAAAAACGGCTCGGGATGAGAAACCGGTCCCGGGGAATGGGTCGAGACTCCTGAGGGTCGACATTATGAAAAAATCATGACGTCGGGGGTCTGGGGACCCGGTTCCTCCTCTCGGCCGTCGTTTCGTCGTCTTCCTCCCACCCTCCTGCATGGTGGCTCCATTCGCTTAACGGCAGCCCCGCTTCGCTTCCTTGCCAGCGCAGTGACTCTGCCCAGCCGCTGACGTAAAGAAGCGTGTGCAGCAGACTCGGGACGCTCGTCAGTCGGCCTCTGTCGCGCCGGCGCCACCAGCCCGTGGCAGTCTGTCCTGCGTGGCGACGGAGAGGGAGACAGGCACACAGTGCCCCCGGTTGTGGCTGATCGGCGAGGGCGGCGAGGCGGGTGCGCTCTGGAACGGCGGCTTCGGCGCCCGACGCATCCTCCACAACCGCCAGATCTCAGAGATCCCCGATTTGACCCGGCCGGACTTTATCCCAGTCCTGACTTCGTGCTGCACCTGTTGCGGAACCCTTCTCGAGATATCGTCGATACGGCGCCGCCCAGTTTGTCTGCGTCACAAGGGCTCTGTATTGGAGCGGCGGTCATCGTCAACACGGGGGTCACACAACCCCGTTTCGTCACGGAGCCAACACGGGGTCACACCAGTCCCGTCGGGCTCCTGTGGGCTCCCACGGAGGGCTCCTGAGAGGGGTCACACAGCATGCCCGCCAACACGGGTGTATGACTGCCGCAATTTGTCGGGAGCGAAAGCAGGACGTAATTACACGTACATGAATCCACGGTGGTTTCGAGAGTACGCAGTGCGCGAACGTTGGCATCACGCGGCTGGTCTCGCTGATTGGGGGGCCGTGTTCATGCGCGTGGTTGCGCGCGCACGTCCGGTGTGGGCTCCCTAACTTGGCAACGCTATTGTAGCGTCCAAAACCAGATAGCAGAGCAGTCCAAAGCGCGTGAAATGCCTGTAGGAGACCCTTTCAAGGACGCTGGAAAGCATGCCTGGGAGCTTGCAAGCTCGAGAGACAGGTGCTTCGCAAGAGCTCCCGATGAGTTTCGAAGGAGCTGCGGAAAGGTTTCCAGCACGGGTTCTCGGGACCCGCTGCAAGTTCAAGCAAAGTGCTGCGAGGATGCCTGATTGGGAGCCCTGGAGAGGAAGCTGGCCTAGCCCTCCCGGCCGGCTTGTTCCCTCAGACCCGATTCGCTCTCCAGAGAGCTATCCGGGAACGACGTGGTCGCGACGAAGGGCTCCCCCAAGCCCAGACCACCGACATCATGAGTTGTTCATAACGTCGACCCCCATGAGGTCTCGACCCATTCCCCGGGACCGGCTCCTCACATCCTGAGTCGTTGTTTGACGGCCCCGAGGCCCTCTGCGAGGGCCCCCAGGTGCTGCAAAGGATGGAAAACACTTGCCGTCGCGATCGTTTCATGACTCGAGGGGGTCTGGGAGGGGAGCCAGGAGCCATATAATTAGCCCCCCCCGGCCGTGGCCGGCCTGGCGAGGGCGGCGAGGCGGAGGCGCTGCGCATCGAGGTGCGCCCGCGGGGCGGCCCGAAGCGCTGGGGCCCCGGGCCGGGCGGGGGCCGCGCCGGGGGCCGGGCGGGCGAGAGCGCGGGCGACCGGGGCGAGCCGCCGGCGCGCCCCCTCCCGCAAGCAGCAAGTCGGGCGTGTCCCTCTACGGGAGGACTTCGGGAACTGGAACGTATACATCACCAGTGGCGGGCTGTTTCTTTCGGGTTGACCCAGAAGGGAGTCCAGCGACAAGGGGGTGGTGCAATAGATTTGGTGCAATAGATTTGTGGGGTTGCAATACATCTGGGGCGTGCAACACATTCTGGGGCGCAAATGTATTGCTGAATTTCCGCGTGCAATACATTAGTTGCAATACAATGCAATACAATTCTCCAGCGCAATACGTTTGCAATACAATTGCCCCAGATCTATTGCACCACCCCCTTGCAGCTGGACCCCCTTTTGGGTCGCCCAGATTCTTGAATCCCAGGACTTTTTGAGGGTCGGGGACGACGCTGGGGTGGTGTGGTGTATACCTTTTTTCCCCGAGGTCCCGGGAGAACAACGAAACATGTATACACCAGGATCCCGTATACGCCAGAATTCGCGTTCCTGTGCGAATTTCGGCGCAGGGTCGGGAAAAGCGTCGGTGTATAGAGTTCGTTTCCTGAGGAATGTTCAAAAATAGTCCAAAAATACTCGGGGGACGATCTTTTATATCTTTTTCGCTATGGTTCGCGCTCTTGGAATATTTCTAACTGCTCGGCCAGAATCCGCCCGTAGGAGGACATGCCCGACCTAAGACTACACGTAAGAGTGACCCTTCGCCGGAGTGACTTCTGGTGCGGGCTCATCGTGGCCCCCCCGATCCTTGAGCGCGGTACGACGGCGGCTGACTTCGCACTTGGATTTGTCCACCTTGCGCCCCCTTTTCGCCCGCGCGCCCGAGGTCGCCCTTGCCGAGGGTCACTCGTTGCGTGTAGCCGAGAAGCGGGTCCTGAGAGAAACGGGTCCTGAGGAGGGAGGAGGGGGGAGGGAGGGAGGGAAAGGAAGGGGGGGGAGGGAGGGGAGGGGGAGGGAGGAGGGAGGGAGGGAGTGAGCGGGGAGGGAGGGGGGGGAGGGGGGAGGGAGGAGGGAGGAGGGAGGAGGGAGGGGGCGCGGGCGGGAGCGGGGACACGGCCCAGGAGGAGCCGGGGCCCAGGACCCCTTTCCCTCGGGAGCCGCGTCCCCCATGCCAAGAGAGGTCGACCTAGCGTCGACGGGCGCGGGCTCGCGAGGGCCCCCGCGAGCTGCCACCGAGCCGCGGGCCGCGGCGGGCGCACCCTGACCCGTCCAGGCGCGAGCCGCGGGGCGCGGCCTCTGCTCGTGGGAGCCGCGCCGCGGCACAAGGCCCCCTCCTCCTCCCCCTACTCCTCCTCCTCCTCCTCCTCCTCCTCCTCCTCCTCCTCCTCCTCCTCCTCCTCCTCCCTCCTCCTCCTCATCCTCCTCCTCCTCCTCCTTCCTCCTCCTCCTCCTCCTCCTCCTCCTCCTCCTCCTCCTCCTCCTCCTCCTCCTCCTCCTCCTCCTCCTCCTCCTCCCTCCTCCTCCTCCTCCTCCCCCTCCTCCCTCCCTCCTCCCTCCTCCTCTCCTCCCTCCTCCTCCTCCTCCTCCTCCTCCTCCTCCTCCCTCCTCCCTCCTCCCTCCTCCCTCCTCCCTCCTCCCTCCTCCCTCCTCCCTCCTCCCTCCTCCTCTCCTCCTCCTCCTCCTCCTCCCTCCTCCCTCCTCCCTCCTCCCTCCTCCTCCTCCTCCTCCCCCTCCTCCTCCTCCTCCTCCTTCTCCTCCTCCTCGGGGCGGGCGCGCGAGCACAAAGGGAGCCCCGAGGCGGGGGAGCGCTCAGCGGCAGCACTGGCGAGGCGTCCTGGCTTGCTCAGAGGCGCACCAGGGAGTGCTCTCGGAGCCCCGTGTGATTTGCACGAGGTGTTCTCAGAGCATGCACGGCTGAGACCAGTTTGTCTGAGCACGTCGGCTTTGGATCATAAGAACGTTGCTCTGATGTTAGAGCATGCTTGCGTTCTTAGAACATGCCGTGGTAGGCTTATAGAATGTCAGGACGGTCGGTCCCTGTCCACATAGAGTTTACAAGGGCACGCTCTGTCTACACAGTAGATACGCACATGCAGGAGCTAGATGCACACATGCAATTTAGTTCATGTATACAGGTGTCATACACCTATATGTGTATGTATGTGTGTTTAGATATGTACATGCATACAGGTGTGTATCTATGTATATGCCAATCGTGTGTATATAGCGATAGATGTATGTGTGCATGTATGTATACTTCGTCGCTTCGCTCACTCCGCCGGCCCATTTCGCATCCCAGTGGCTCCGTGGTGGTGTGCTCGTGCCCAGGGGGAACGGTAGGGCAGGCAGGACGGGCTTCGAGGAGATCTTTGGAGATGTGGTTCGCACCATGTCGAAGAGAGCCGATAGACTGCCCCAAAGAGCGCCAAGGTGGCTCAAGAGAGCTCTAGCAGAGTTTCGAGACGCACATGGGTTGTGGGTCAAAGTCCGCATGGATGCTCCTTGAGGTCCTTTCGGAGGGAGCCTCTGGGGAACAGTTCTGATGCCTCTGAGCGGCCTCTTGGGGCTTCTTGGGGGCCTCTTGGGGCTTCCTTGGCGCCTGTGACAGTCTTGGGAGCTTCTTTGGGGGCCTATTGGGTGCTTCTTGTGGCCTCTTGGGGGCCTCTGGGGGCTTCCTGAGCGCCTCTTGGGGAGCTCGACATGTCTGTTCGAGTTCCCCCTCTGGGCCCCCTCTTGGGGCCATCCTGGGGCCGTTTTGGATGCCTCTTGGGCCGTGTGGGGGCCATCTTGGGCCATTTGGAAGCCCCTTGGAGGCTTTTCGGGTCTTGGAGCGACATTGGTGCCTCTTGGGCCGTCCAGGGCGGTCGGCAGCTCGAAAAGGCGGTACCGCCAAAACCGTCCGAAAACCTTAGCACAATCAATGATTGTTGCGTCTACAGGGCCTCTCAAAGTCCTCTTGGAACCCTCCTGGAGCTTTTTGGGCACTTTTGGGGCCGTCTTGGGACCAGCGTGGGCCATCTTGGAACGCTCTTGGCCTGAGGCCGTGGGGTGTGCCACCTTTTTGGCGCTTCATTGGGGCGCTCGGGAGGCGCCCGAGGCCGCGCCCAGGAGTTCTGGCATCTCTGGCCCGACCTTGCCGGGACATTGCCGGGGACTTGCCGGGACCTTGCCGGGGACTTGCCAGGACCTTGCCGGGACTTTGCCTTATTAGTTTTCGTCCGGGGACAGGGGTCACCACGCGCGCGCGAGTTAGAAACATTCTTAAACGCTCACCGGAGATTTTAGCTCGCCTCTGGCCCGCGGGCGGGCGGGCGTTCGGGCGGCCGGCGGCGGGTGGGGGGCGGGATCGTGCGTGTGTGTGATGTAAAAACAAATAAAGAGCTCCTAACGATGGTGTCTTGCAGCGGGGCCCTGTTGAATATTTCATGGTGTGTTGGAGACGGAGGCTGTTCAATATCTGGGCGAATTGTGGTGGAGACGGGGGCTTTTGAGTAGTTATCTGAATGTTGTGTTGGAGACGGCAGCTGCTGACTATCTGGGTGTTGTGTTGGAGACGGAGGGAGCTGAGTACAACGAAAGGGCGGGCAGGCGGCGGGCGGGATCGGGATGTAAGGATGGTGTCTTGCAGCGGGGGCCAGTTGAATATCGGGTGACTCGTCTGAGGCGGAGGCTGTTGAGCATCTCGGTGCTGTTTGCGAGATGGAGGGAGCTGAACACAAGGAATTTTCAAGTCAGGCTTGGGCACGCCAGCGCGTGCAGGTGCTCCACCGCATGCCTGCCCACTGCCGCAGGCAGTGGAGCCGAGAGCACCGACACGGCTGGAACATCCACCGCTGCGGAGAAAGTCTTGGGGAAGGGTGCGGAAGAAATGGCGCAGACGATTTTGGGCCAAGAAAGCGACTATTTGGGGTCCTGTTTGGGGGTCCCTTGAGAGGTACCCGCCACAGTACTCCGAAAGTGTGAGTTCGATATATATACATACATATATATATATACATATATATATATATATACATACATACATACATACATACATACATATATATATATCTCTTTCAATTACACAAGAGAAAAACCCTAATCAGAGGATGGTTTTCGCTGAGGAGATCGACGGGGGACACAGGAACCCAGGAACCCCAAACCCACCGAAATCGGCCCGGAACAAATAACCGGGAACCCTGGAACCCGGAACCAGGAACCCGGGGATCAAGCTTGCCATTGCTACCAAAATCGGCGGGACACTTTTGCCAAATCTTTCAACTTCCGCTAGGAGCCCTTCAATGCAAACGCTGTGTTTTGGGAACTCAGGCTAGGACCCCTTCAGTGCAAACATTGATTCAGGAAAATGTGGAAAATGTATATGTATATATATATATATATGTATATATATGTATGTATGTGTATATAGATATGCAAATTGGAATTAAGAATTGTAGAGATAAGCGAAACAGTCACGGTGGCTTCATCGGTCTCTCTCTCTCTCTCTCCTTCTTTCGTTCTCTCTCTCTCTCTCTCTTTCTCCCTCTCTCCACTTAATTCCTTCCGTCTCTAACACAGCACCCAGATCCTCAACAGCTTCCGCCTCCAACACGGAAACCAGATACTCAACAGATTCTGTCTCCAACACAGCACCCAGATGTTCAACAGCATCCGTCTCCAACACACCACCCTGGACTCCACAAGCCCCCACTGCAAGACCCCATCCTCAGGAGTTCTATTGAAATCCAGATCCCGCCCGTCGACCGCCCGCTGCCCGCCCTCCCCTTGCATTAATTTCCCCCCATCTCCAGCACAACACCCAGATATTAAACCGCCTAAGCCTCCAACGCAGCACCAATTTACTCAACATCCTCCGTCTCCCACGCAGCACCCAGATATTAAACCGCCTACGCCTCCAACACCAAATCCGGTACTCAACAGGCCCCTTTGCAAGACACCATCCATGGAATCCGCATTAC